AAATAGGTTTTTCATCCAAACATATTTTTTCCATAGAAGTGTTTTATAAGTGGTGTTTGGATTCCAAGACTAATACCAAAATCAGCCTAAATTTTGAGCTAGAAATATAAACTATTTACACAAAGTAAGAAAACACTTATTATAATTTAAAATATATGCAACAGAAATGTAGTTTTAAGAAAAGGGTAGATGGAACTTTAGGGAGTTTCATTTTTAGATAGCCTCTAAGAGGTAAAAACATCGATTCCTTGGAGTGCATTCCTTAGTAAAATTCTTCTATTATTTTCAAAGTTTTAGGGCACACAATTATAACAGAAAGACTTGGAGAGATTATCTCAAGATAACCAAAGAAGAGTTAAAGGAAGAAAGGAGGCAGGTATTCAAGAGCATTAATGGGGAGGCACAGGAAAATTTTCCTGAGATGAATTAACTGAGGCAGGTTGTACGTAGTGAAAATGGGATGAAAATGGCAACATGGTATGAGGTGACCATCCTAATATTCAGTAGATGAGGGAGATTAAAGATCATGAAGAGAAATAAAGCATATAATAAGTAGTAAATAAAGCAGATAATCTTTAGAGTGTGACCATTACTCCATATAAAATGTTTGTTACCTCTCATTGAGATTGGGGGTGTTTTTGGCTTACAGCAAAAAAAAAAAAAAAAAAAAAAAAAAAATAGTGCCCCCAAAGAACCAGAGATCTATGACTTCTCTGTAAGCACTAAATTTTCCCTGATTAGAACTAAAATGCTATCAAAGTGAATTTGCAAAGTGAAAATGGAATTTTGAAAAATACTTCAAAAATTAAATCACATAACCTGTTACTTTCAATGGCAAAAACTGCAATTACTTTTGCACCAACTAATAGTTTCATCAGACATTAAAACTCATGCATGCTAATTCTCGTGGTTTGTTCTGAGCATGAATCTGCCCCTATCATTTCTGATAATCACTGACAAGAGGGTAGGCATGGCAGGTAGGATGATTCCCATACTCACCTCGAAAAAATAAAATTCAAACTATAGAGTGGCATTTGTGGACCTGCATGACTTTAAAGGTCATCTTTTTTCTTTTTCTTTTACTTCATCGCTCCACAAATCCTATACTCCCAACACCCTAGGACTCTTTATTCATGGTGCATTCCTTCAAACAGAGATTTTTCTACCCATCGCCTTCTCCCCTGGGGATCGCATACTCCCCTAGGGCTTTAATAGACAGCATTGCCTCCCTCCACCAGGATTCTTACTAGCTTCAATTCCTCTCTTGAATTCTAGCCCCCTATGTTTCCAAATGCCTGTTGGATTTCACTGTAATGTTCAAAACAGATTTTAAAATGCCATGTATGCTGTGGAGCTGGAGGCCATCATCCTTAGCAAACTAACACAGGAAAGGAAACATCAAATACCTGACGTTGTTTCTTGTAAGTGGCGGCTATGTGATGAGAACTCATGGACACATAGAGGGAAACAACACACACTGGGGCTGTAGGAGGGTAGAGGGTGGGAGGAGGAAGAGGATCAGGAAAAAAATAACTAATGGATACGAGGTTTAACACCTGGGTGAAGAAATAATCTATACAACAAAGTCCCGTGACAGAAGTTTACCTATGTAACAAACCTGCACATGTATCCCTAAACTTAAATTAAAAGTTAAAAAAAATGCCATGTGTGAAGCTAAACTGAGTGCCATATTTTCCAGCCCATGAGCTGCTGTTTTCCTACTTCTGTACCAGCATCTTCTCAGACACTCAGGCCTGCAGCTGTGAAGGTGTGACTCTTTGTTGCCTCTCCCAACCAATTAATTGCCAAGTCCTGCTGATTGGATCACAATATTTCTTGCATCCTTTCTTCAGTGACCAAAGCTGTAATTTCAGCTCTGTTCCCTTTCTTTCTCTTATAATCTTGTCTGCCTGCTGCTGAAGCAGCCATCCTAAATGGATACCACGATACTGTGCTATTCCGTTGTTCAAAAATGGCCATGGATCTATATTGAAGTTTGCTCTTCTTAGCCTGACATCAAAGATCCTCTGTTACCTCAATTAAACGTACTTTTTCCAGACTTGGAACCTCTCCTGTAACCCACGTCGTGGCTAAATTGGATTTCTCATATCTTGCCTGTAATTTATACTTCATATTACCTATATAATTTATACTATATACCTATATACTTTATAAGAAGCAGAATGAATTAATTGGATGTAATATGTTATATTATAAAATAGTTAATATATACTTTACAGGTAATATAAAGCATTACCTCCAAGGAATACAGTCTGCTCCTTCACTTAGGATGTCTATTTCTCCTCCCTGGACACACATTCTGAATTCTTACTATTCTTTAAGAACAGGCACAAATATTACCTTATGAATTAAGCTTTTTTCTCTTATAATGAATTGAAGGTGATCATTATCTCCTTGAACTTGGACAGTATTTCATCTGTTGCTAAACCTTGGCATATTTATTACCTTTTAAGTTGTTTCTCCTTTTGCTTATATCTTTTCTCCCCTAATTGACTGAAGTCAAACAATTTGACTCATTTACCTCTGAATTGTTCTAATTATTTAGTGTAAGAAACAGGTACAGGTCCTTCTAAAAAAAATTTAGCATGAATAGGAGAGAAGAACACTCATGTGAGTAACTACAGTATCATGAGAGTACATTCTGAGTGACTGAGGGGTGTGGAAATGATTTTTATCTTATATCTCTTGTTTGAGAGTGAGGACATTATGTAGTCCACATAACACGACATATTTGGTTGAAAACTAAAAAATTCTATCACAACAATGATTCCTCCTAAGTCTCGGTGTCAAGCATTGCTTAGCTAAGTAATCTGGGTGTCCTTTTATGGAAAAAAGCGAACCTACAAAAGAGATGTTTTAACATAGAAACAACACTAGTAGACACATATCCATTTTTAGGAAACTTAGTGGAAATTCATTTATTATCTCAAATTGAAAATAGTTTAGATTTAGGTTTGTCCTATCTCACTGAGAACTCTCTAGTTATAATGCAAAGTTGACTTCGTCCAGTTCTGGCATTGTCTTGTGGACAGGGTTAGACTTATAAAAAAAAGTTCACCTCTTCATTCTGGTGGAGTAGAGATAAAATGATTATTTCTTTTTGCTTAAAAATAATTTTACTGCCATGTACAGCTTGTCATTATAATTTTATTTTTTAATACTTTAGCATAATCACTGTTACAGCTTTTTCATGCACAGCATCCATGACTTAATTTTGGCAATCACTGGTTCTGATAAATGAAACTCTAGTTAATATTGTGTTCATCTTTTTACATAAGTTAATAGCCTGAAATCTCTGCAACAGGCATATATTAGATTTTTTTAACCAGATCAGACTAAATACTTTTCATTTTGAGCTAATAATTTAGGAGTCACATTGTTGAGATTCTCACAACTAGTCTAAGTTTCTAGTGAGACTGAAAACCTTCAGAAGATTTGCAGGACCAGGACCCCTGGGGTAAAGAATGAACAAAGACTACTGATGCTAGTGCAGAATGTGAATGTGGAAGCATCACTAACATCTCTCTTTAGGGTCATGTGTTTATTTATGCTAATGATTTTATTTGTGTTCCGTGAATTACAGCTCCTAACATAAAGCCCTGAGTATTCATTACAAAATTTCTTGCCGAGTCAGTGAGGTATTGTTGGCTGAATCCTCTCATGAGGTTCACATCACTTATTGGGAGGTTTGCAATACATGGGTCAAATTTCTTTTTCTTTTGTTTCCAAAACAGAACTTACATCCAATTGGAACCATCTATGAAAAAATCTTAAAGCTGCCACCAGCCCTCTGGGGCATTCTATCATTTAGTAAACATAGCTACAAATGTCCTACTTGTTGATGCTCTATGAAATTCATTTTAAATGTTGCATAGTAATTTATAGTAAATAGTTCAATACATTGAGACTTGGTGTGACAAGGGGTATTTGGAAAAGCATGTGAATGTTATCTAATCTGAAAGGCTCAGCTTAGCTCAAGTTGCTTTAAATATTGTATGTCCTGAGTGTGCCTGCTGAACTGAATCTTTCTCCAATCCTTACTAAATGTATCCTGCATATTAGAATGCACTGCATTCTGTTTCCCATCAGGACTGCAGTACTCCCTCTAGCTCTGTTCTAATTGCCTTGGTCCTTGACAGTCCCCTCCTCTCTAGTCCCATTGGGTTGGACTAAGTTTTCTATACCCCAGGTCACTTAGAGGGGCCTTGGTTCAATCCAGAGAGAACATGGACATGGTTGTCCTTACCTGAGTATCACCACTGCCTTGGCTGTTTATCTGTGCTCCACACTTCCTGTTCCCTCTACCCATAGGGTCAGATTTCTAGGATATCAAGGGCACCCTAGATAGATAAAATCTTGAATGTCCTTGGACTGCTGTCACTCTCCCTTCTATGCCCAGTGGTCAGCTGAACAGCTCTCCTTACTTTATAGGCCTTTGCCTATCCTGCCATCTCAGTCCAACACTCCTTGTTCTATACTCTGAGAATTCCCTAGTGGTTGACTTTGGGTAGTCATAATAAAATTTTAGTTCTTTCCATTGTATCATGTTTTAATGATGAAAATGATTCTTTGCTATTTAAAATGTGGATCTTCCAATTTATTTTTATTAATTCCCAAGATAAGTCATTAATCAGTTTTTAAGGTCTGCTTTGGGTGAAAATATCTTATAAGACCTTTCTCTGTTGGGTGTGCTATCAGATGGTCAAATAATACAAGGAAAAGAGGCATTAATAGATATTTCTACCAGAAAGACCTACTTTAGAAAAGATACCCCCTGAAACTTCTCAGTCTTTCTGTTTCATTTAATGAAACAATGAAATATTTAGTTCACCAGGCAACAGACTTTCGACTAGTTTCTATACGTGGCCGAGAGAACATTCTTGTGTTAGATGGAGGAACATGGGCATACTTCAGCAGAAGATACAACATGTGGAGTTATAATGGGCAATCAAGAAAGCTAAAGTAAAAGGAAGCATTACCTTGGGGTCATGTATTCCAGAAAGCTCTTCATAGATCTTCTCACCTACCATGACAGCAGCCAAGTTTGCCGTGTATGTGGAAAGGCAAAACATACAGAAAATGGCCCAAAGATTCATTAGAAATCTTCCAGTCCAACATTTTGGGGGTTTGATGGCCACCGTTCTACCAAACAAGAGGGCGTAACAGACATTCAAGGCTGAAGAAAAGGAGAAGACTTTACTTCTATTTCGCCCCTTGGGAGTTAAACCAAAGGGACTCTTCCATTCATATAAAGTGAGGAAGATGGCAGTGATGTGCAGAGCCACAAAAATCCCCAGCCACATTGTCCAGTGGAGTGGCCACATGAAGGCTCCAATGGGAGCTGCTGTATCTCGGGTCCTCACTAAGATGCCCAAGCTGGTGGAGAAAAAAGGGCTCGTGAAATCTATCACCTGGCTCCGTGCAGTATTGATGCTGAAGGAAGTGACTGCCATGTGGGCAGTCCCACTCAGGAGATCACCCACCAGCCCAGTCCAGTGCCCATTCTTCCAGGCTCCATACTTTCCATCCCCTACAATATAGAGGTCGAAGTCAAAGTTCATGTCTTCTGCTATCTTTTCCAGCAGATCGATGCAATATCCGTAGCAGCACTTCTTGAATTGAATGGGCACTGTATCATTACTGCTATGGAGGCTGCTGAAAAGCCTGTCCAGTGTGGCAGAGTCATTAGTCATGGGGTCTAGACAGAGTTGGCCAGCAGGGCACAAGCCTTCATCATCTACCTCCCTTGTGAAGACAAAAGGATGCTCAATCAGGGTAACCACTCTCAAGTGTAGCTTACTTGGGTGTTGGAAGTAGGTTTTGTGTCTCTGGGCCTGCTCTGGCCATATTCCATAGTCCATGACAATCTTACCCCCTTGCCAGCTGCCCAAGCGGGTCCACATTGGCTTTCCCATGGGGTCATGTTGAAGATTCCAGATGAAAAAGTTGTTTTCTAAGCTGATGATGGTGGAACCTTTTACTTTGATGGAACCACTGAGGCCTCTGAAGGTGGTATTAGCCAGAAACCTGGAGAAGAGGAGCAAAGGCAAAAAGTAAGAAACAGAAGTGAGACCAAAGACAGGAAGCAGTGTTCATCTTTGCTTTGCTGTCTTAATAAAAATAAATTCAAATTTTTATTTAAAAAGACTTTCCCTACAATTTCTTCAGAAATTAATAAGCTGGACTCATTTTCTATTATAGGAGTAAAATTCTATTATATTAAGCAAATGAGATTTCGCTCCCAGATTCTAATATTCTGGCCAGGTGCTTGACTCAGTCTTACTCTAAATGTTTTTTTAATTCCTAGTTAAGAGATGTGTTAACCATTTTCTGTTATAAACTGTTAATGACATATTCCTGCAACTTTTCAAACTATGGAGATTTTCAGCATCTGTAACATATCCTACTTCTATTGTTGACTATGTTCAATTGTAAGTACATTATCTATCTATCTATCTATCATCTATCTATCTATCTATCTATCTATCTATCTATCTATCTACCTATCTATCTACCTACCTACCTATCTATCTATCTAGATATTTGGTACAGGGAATGAGATTAAAAAGTATACATATATTTTAATAATTGCTTAAACACTGCATTCGTAACATTGGAAAATAGCCAAATCTTGTTACCAATGTTTCTTCTTATAGAAAGAAATCAATTAACATATCTGTCCCCATGAGGCTAGTTCAAGCTGCATATTGGAGCTCATCCACGGAACAAAGGAAAAGATGATAAATCAACTTGCAGTTTTCAAGGTAGCCTCAGGCTAGCCTCCCTCTTAGTCATTAGAAACAATTGGCCCTGACTCTAGAGAGGGCTTCTGCCAGAAGCCACAAAAAGGAAAATTACCGACTAAATAATATACTGATTCCTAACCCTGTGAACTAGGGCACTTACAGTGTACATTCTGATATGGACTAGACAGAGACAACTAGACTAATAAGGCTTGGTCATAGCCTCTTTCTTGAGTCTGGGAAGATAGAAAAATAAGAGGTAACATAGAAGCTTGTGGCATCTTAATGATCGCCTTGTGTTGGAATAAAAGCCGAGGCTTTGGCCTCAGATCCACCTGCATTTGAATATTGGCCTAGCCACTTGCTAATGTTGACCTTGAACAATTTACTTAACTCTATGCTTTAGTTTTGTCACCAGCAAAATAGAGAAAATGATACTTCCTTCATTACAAGAGTTGGAAATAATTTATGTAAAGCACATGCTACATCTAACATGGAACAAATATTCCAGATATGGCAACTATGACGTACTGTCACTCAAGTATTTTTCAGTCAAGGCTGTCTCCAGGCCACTTTTCCCAAGAATTTTAATAAAATTTTAAAAGTTGGAAACACCAAGTATTGCATTATGATAAATCCATGGCAGTTACTCGAGACATATTTCAAATTAAAAGTAATTAAATTGAAATGTGGAATGGAACATAGTAGGCATTTTGAACAATCATGCTGTAAGTGCAGGCTCTCAGCAAAATATATTCACTCATTGCCTGTCACAAATATTGCTCCATAAATTACAAATGCAAATAGAAGTACTAAGACATCATGTTGCCACAGAAGGGACATAGAAAAATCAGAAAGTGTGAAGTACGTACTAATTTTCATTAGAGATATAAATGTAAATCACATTTGAAGATGCTACTATCAATAAATGCAGTGAAACTGTACATTTTGTAAGACTGCGTGTAATGGTAATTATTCATGTTAGTACTCCCCGGTGGCATTCTACCACTTAAATTCTATTTTGCAACAAGTAATGAAGTCTTAGCGATCTAAGACTTTGAAATAGTTTTTTGCTTCTTTAGAGGAGCCAAATCATTAAAATATACATATTAATCAATTGATAATTACCTAGGTACTATAATGGAAAGCTGATACACTTCTTTATAAGAAATCTACTTTTAGATTTGTTAAAACACACACCTACACACACTTGCTGATATAGGAAATAAACGCTTAGTAGTAAGTAGGTTAATTTCTTCTGGTCAATTGACTGATCAGGAAAGTAAAGAGGAAGTTGTGGAATGAGGAACCCTTTATTATTTTAAGAATGCTTGGGGCTTAATGATTATAAATTCTTAACTGGATAGTCCCTTGATAAACTACCTCTAATTATATATTTAAACCATCTAAAAAAAAAATCAGAAATCTTCAGAAAATTTCCAGAGATTACACAACTCCCTCATTCCAGTAAAATCTATTCCTGATTATTGATGTTAAATAACATTTAAGATGGCCATGATAGAGGGAAAAGGCCCAGTTGTCTTTGAGGCAGTCATTTTCCAAAGAAGGCAAATCAATATGGACCTCAATGTCTCCAGTTTTCTCAGCCCAGAAAACCTAATGCTCGTTTCACTATTAGCTCCAAAAAACTGGGTCCTAGGGAATCACCACTTATGAAAGATTATTTGTGCCTGTTTTATTTTTAGTCTTATGATAAGGGTGAATCAAAATAATCTCCTGAAAGCTTTAGCTGTAGTCACCTGCACTAATGGAGTGACGATGCATAGCAAAGTTTAAATGCTCACTATGTTAGTTAAAATATCAAAAGGCTGAAATCCTGGTTTTGCTTACATTGGATTCTATTACATTCCTTTTTTATCTTGTCTTTTACTCTTTTTGGATAAACAAGAAAAAAAATCAGGAATAGTTTTACTGGCACCACAAACTGACAAACATTTGTCACTGTTCCAACACTGGAATTACAGGGATCAAAGACAAATTCACTGGTCTCAAGAAACTCAAGAAGCTCAAAGTCTAATTTTGGGGAGAAAGAAAGTGAGCGGGCAATTCAGGCCCAGATAATGAGCATCACTATAGAGGTAAATCTGGTGCCACTGGAACAGACAGCAAGAGCACCTGCACATTCTACCATAGGGTGCCAAGGAAAGCTTCATAGAGGAGGAAGTGCCAGAGCTGAGTCTTGAAGGAATTACATAAGCCAGGAAAAGCAGCTGGGAAATGGTCTTGTCATCTCAAGGAGATACAAATACAAAGGCCGGAGACAGAGAGTGTGAGCTGTTTGACTATGAGATGAAAAATAAGGAGGAAGATGAGGATGGGAAATGAATTAAATCAGATCTGAGGCTAGAGTGAAGACAGTGGGGAGCCACTGAGGGGAATTTGTCTGGGGAGAGACATGATCATTAGATTTAATTTTAGAATAATTTTTTTTTCCTTGCTAGTTATGTAGGACATAGCATGGAAGGAGGAGGGGACTGAACATAATCCCACATGTGAGGAACAATGCTGTTTCTTTCTTTCTTTTGCTTCCTCTCTTACTCTCTCTCTGCTAGTTTCATAAAGGGCTTAAAGTGGTAAGGGCAAAGTCAGCAGAAGTGGAGAGGAGATGGCATAATCAAGAGATATTTCGTCTTGAAAAAGAAAAGCAGTGATTTAAGAGGGCCAAATGCATAGGCTCGCAAACTTTACTAAAAATGTGTGAGACTCAGCTTGACCGTAGGTCCTAGAAATAAGACCTAATAGTATTTAGTTGATTATAAACTCAATGTAAGCCCATAGAGCAATGTGGGTGTAAAAAAAGTAAACTTAAGTTCCTTTAATAAAAATTTAGAGCCTGGATCAAAGGGAACAATAATACTATCATTCTCTGTGCTGATCAGGTAACTGCTCCAGCCTGGATATGAACCCTAAACAAATCTTCCAGATTCAGGAATGTTATGAAGAAAGATATGAAGGTGGAAAATGTAAGAGGAGGTGGTAAGCATAACAATCTGATTGGAGAGCAGGATAGAAAAATATTAGAAAATAACATAGGAAAGCAGGTTGTAACTAGACTATAGAGGCCTCATGTCCCTGTTTTATGAGATTGAATTTTATTTTAGTAGGAAAAGGGGAACCATGGAGATTACTGAGCAGCATAATGACTTTAACAGAGATCTACATTAGTAATATTAGTCTGGAAGCAAGTAAAATGCACATATAGGAAGGGGAAATGGTGACTAGGAGACCACTTACGATACCTTTGTCATGGTTTGATGAGGGCCTGGATCTAGCTCCATGAGTGAGAACCTGGTTTTGTGAGTGCTTAACAAAGTAGTTCAGCTATTCATCTTTTTTATCAACAAACATCCCAAGATACCACTCTCCTTGAAAGAACGAGGCTCATTAATTAATTTTTCTTTATTAAAAGCTCCTAATATGTCACTAATTAAGAATGTGTTAATTTGCATAACAGCTGAGATAAAATTTGCATTTTGAAAATTATTTAGAAAATGTTTTTGAGATAGTTCACAGTATAAACAAGATCAATATTTCATATATTTGAGATATATTTTAGAAGCCATATTCACATGCAAAATTTTGACATACTAATGAAAGGATTTTCTTATTTATTCAGCATAAAAGGAGCAACACATCACACATTCAATCATCTATTTATTCCATAATACTCACTATGTGCCAGGCACTGTCCTAGGTGCTAGGAATGCAGTAGTGAAGTAAGACCACGTTCTATGTGGCTTATATTCTATTTAAGGAGACAGAATACATATGATAAATAGGTAATATGTGTGGGACTTAAACCTGTCCCAATGTTGACATAGGAGGTTGTTTTTTTGTAATTTTAAATGATTTGAGCTTTGATTTATTGTATTTTTCATGTATAATAATCTGCTGCTTAAGTTTACAGCCTGTTTGGGGTGCTAACATACTGGCCTATTTGGGCAAATATTCTATGTAGTAATAAAAATAAATGTACATTCTCTGGTATGTTAACTGCAGTGTTTATCTTAATGTATTAATTACATTATTCATGTACTATTTTTACTTTTTGTAACTTGCTCTAAAATTTGCTACAGTTACATAAAAATCTCCCATTACAAATAATATTGCCCTTCTCTTAAAGATTTTAAGAACTGTTGCCTCCCTGATTTTTCTTGTCTTATTTGGTACATATGGTTTTATTAGGCTTATGCTTTTATGTTTATTATGAATCTGTGTTTTTCCTTGCTTTGGAAATAGCTCTGAAATAATTCCATTGTTTTC